GTACATGTAATTCCTACTAATTAGGGATCATAAACTCTATATTCCTAAATAAATTTGAATTAGGAGTACATGTAATTACTACCATTAGGAATTGCGAACCATTAATTATGTCTTTAAGGAAAATCTTGCAACCACCTTTTAGCTTGTCATAAAATCTATAAAAGGATTATTACACAGTAATTGAATCTGGACTAAACTATTATTGCTAAAATAGAAGACTTAAAATTAAAATCGTATTGTCTTAATTAATAATTATGACAGTACTATTTTAATTATGACAATAGTTAATAAGAAAAAAATTTAATTTGTAAATACTATTACTGATTGAGTTTGAAGTTCAATTTCGACAATAAATTGAACTTTCCAAAAATACATACCACTCCCATCACTATATAAAGCCAACAATTCTTACACACATCCATATATCCATTGCAAGATAAGACACTACAACTACGTACTACACAAATAGCTAACTGTTCATTCTTCATAATGGTTTATATAGCTCTCTTCTTTAGTACTTCTGCCTACAATTAGCGACGCTCTTCTTTCTAAGTTTCTTCATCCTATTCTTCAAACTTGATTCAACACCTTCTCAACTTAGTTCAGACCGTATTCGTTGTCTTAAATTTTTGTTAATTGGTGAAATACTAGTCTTCTTGGCAATAGGATTGTACTTTGACTGTCTTAATTGATTGATTTTTGTTGTTGTATATGTTTATCCGTACAGATTCGATTCTTAATTACTCTCGTCTTCCTGCTTGGCACCTTTAGCCAAGGTAAAAGCCAACTCTTCAACGTCTTGAGTTTTGGGGCTGTTGGAGATGCTCGAACTGATGACTCAAATGTATATATAATTAAATATCTAATATATATGATCTATATATACATATATGTTCATTAAAATTTTTCTAATTAACTGTATGTATATATCTTGTATTATATGTACATTCAAGGCTTTCTTGGATTGGTGGAGACGTGTTTGTGAGGCCACTACTACAAGTGGAGCCACCATCCCAACTCTGCAGGTTCCGATAGGCAAGACCTTCTTGTTGAAACAAGTCAAATTCTCTGGACCCTGCAAATCGACAACCGTTCAAATCCAATGACATGGTATTTTGTACATGTCTAATTTTGTGTGATTAATTGTACTGTACGTTTATTTTGTAGTGTGGGAAGCCTTGGAAAAGATGGATCCAATGATATGGTGGAAGAGGTGCATGTTCGTAATTGTGCATTTAATGGAACTCAGAATGGAGCAAGGATAAAGACATGGGGAATAAATTTTCTTCTTCATATATAGATAATAACTTGAAATCTATTCCTCAATATCTAAAATAACTTTCTTTTGTTTTACGTATCATACGAGGACATTATTCTTATAGGAACGGGCAATCCCGTATTTATTGATCAACATTGTTGTCCACACCAAAGTTGTCCACCTGAAAAGGTAAAAAATATATTATATTTTTATTAAAATATATAAATATTAGTTTTACTTAATTAATTAAACATTGATATATATTTTTCTAATTAACAGGGAACTGCAGTAACAATAAGTGATGTAACATTTAACAATTTTCAAGGAACTTCTGCAGATAAAATTGCGATTACATTAAATTGCAGTAGTATAGTTCCCTGATGAATTTAGTAAACATCACCTCTTTGGATCCGAGTAGCTGTTAAGTGGAAAAATCTTATGTCGAGTATAAAAATAAAAAACTTGTGGGTTAAATATAAGGAAGGTTACTCCACCTATAACCAATTGATTTTAACTTGGATGCAAGTTTTGTGTTAAACTCACATGCATAATTTTCAATAGTAGCAAAGCATGCAACACCGCGCAAGGCACTGCTGCCTCGACTGCCCCTGTTGTCCGTGCCTATCAAGTGTTCAAGACATTCTTATTAGAAGAGAGGGACAAACTCAAGATGGGGACAGCGAACCTCAATATAATGAGCTTTAATTTTTTTTTTTTTTTTCCATTCTAATCATGGAAGTTACACGATTTGTAATTAATCATTTGAATTTTATTTTAGCACATTAAAGATATGTTTTTATTTTTAAAATTTATTGATAATGCCTTTTTTAATTTGTCATTCCTGATTCCTAATTCCTAATTCCTTGGTGAAGGCAAAAGAAAAAAGAAAAAAAAGTCCATGAGCAATTAAGCTTAATTTACAGGGAGAAAAAAAAAAGACTAAAAATCTGCTTAATTAGACCAATTTTGACAAGAATAAAATCAAAGCATCGAATATTAGGATATAGAAAGAAAACTGACATCTGAAGGGTTGTTTGGACTAGAATTCCTGCATCCGCAAAGTGATTTCAACTTTATCGGAGTGGAGATAGGGCCTTCTTGCGCCACCGCCACATCGAAAAATGTTAATCTTTGTTTGCCAGAAGTGGAATTTGCTTCAGATCTCTACAAGTCCCCCCGCTCCACTCCGATTTGAAGGTCACGATCTTCTTGAATGGAGACGAGTTGCGGCTAGTGATAGCCGGCATTATCCAAGAAATTGTCGATAAACTGAGCGTCGTTGATTTCCGATTTCTGGAAAAATTCGAGGCTTTGTCTCCCAATTAGTAAAGAGGATGAGAGAGAGAGAGCCTAAATTCAGCATTATAAGGAGTGTAATAAAAAAGAAAAAAAAAAAAAACACAAAAATGGAGAAGAGGATTGCGGTTTTAGCGGGAAAAATATGCCGTGCAACTCGGCTCTCCTGCGTTTCTAAATTTTGAAAGTCTGGCTGGTCGTGGATGGCTATGAGCCATTTTTCTAAAACGGAGCCTTTGTGCAATGCATATTGCAAAACGTGTGTCCTTAAATATGGGCCAAAATTGGCCCAAACAAAAGAGACACTAGTCGGGCCGGGTAGAAGAAACTGAATTGGTTTGCTCAAGTAATTAAGAAGAGACGCATTGCCGCTTCGGCCCGAAAAATGGTTACCAAATAGAGTTCAGAACCCAACAAAATAAAATTTATTGAAAATGAAAACAAAAATATATATATATATATATACATATTTTTTTAAAAAAATGAAGAAAATATTTTTTTTAGCCTACAAATAAAACGAAAATTTAAAACAAGAACCCCCAATATTAATCTCTCAGTATAAAACCTTACAAACCTAGATGACATAATTATGTAAATTATAATTAACACATGAGTTGAGATGAAAAAAATCCAGGACCTACGTATGTGAAGGCATAATTCTCTCATGTTGGTTAAAAGCTAAAGATACATGCTTCACGTGTAAGAGTGAGACACTATTGACCCTACTTTCTAATACCTTTTACAATATGCAGACAGGAGTGGTCATACCAATGCTACTTTGGCATCCTTAGCACGATTACTTGATAAAAGCCACATGGAGTTTGAGTAGATTTTTTTTTTTTTCTTCCTTTCGTTAATGCTTTGAAGAAAAGAGTCCTTTTGTGGCCTCCATATTCTCTTAGAACAAAACTACAACATTTTGTACATGACCTTTATTTGTAAACGTGGTCATTTTTAGGCCAAATTTGTAAATGTTGTCATTATTTGGCAATAAATGACATTTGGTGGGATTGATGTAGATGCATGTTTTACTATGATGAACTTTCTTAGTGGGAAACTTCAAAATCAAAGTTTGCATTAAGATTATTTGAATCAAAGGCTACCTCTTGAATATTCATTTTCTCTTACAACTTTGATTCCTAAAGTCTCTCTTGAGTCTTGACTCTACAAAGTTTAGATGATTCTTTTGGAAAACTAACAAAACTTGTCTATAACAAAGTAGTAACAAGAGGTGATACAGACTTCAATGAAGTAAAACCATGCTCGTCTCCAATAAGGATTTATGTGTAGAATTGCTGCGATTGCCATCAATACTACAACATAAGTTATCACAAAGCTCCAGTAAAAAACACTCATGTCAATCAAACCATTATTTTCCTTGTCATAATAGTAAACATTGGTCAAAACAGATGGTGATTCAATTTTGGTACAATTGATCTGCAGTGGAGCTCCACAGAGAAAAGGATTTCCTTTATAGCTACTTTCATCAAAGGTACCAAATTGAGCTTTTTGATCAGGGGTTGGTCCTAATAAATTGTTGTATGCAACAAAAAACACAGCCAGAGTGTTTAGCTCAGTCAACTGAGGAGGGATTCTCCCATTCAAATTGTTATAGGAAAGGTCCAAACTTTCAATCTGCTTCACGTTTGAAAATGTAGTGGGAATTGGTCCTGTTAACTTGTTGTGTGACATGTTTAGTGCATGGATCTCATTCAAATATCCAATTTCAGATGGTTAAAGCAATGCAAAGAAAAAATCAGTTGCCACAAAAATAAACGAAATATAAAATTATAGTTTTTACCTGGTTAGATGGCGGCTCAGGTTTTCTGGCCATCTCACTGGAATTTTGCCAGATTTTGCATTCTCTTGACCTTCTCTCTCTTACCTCCTTCTCTATCTCTTCTCCACCCCTTGGGATGACTTTGTGTGGTGTGGTTATTTTCCAGCTATAAAAATAATTCAGCAATATAAGGAGTGTAAAAACAAAAACAAAAACAAAAATGGAGAAGAGGAGTGCGGTTTTAGCGAGAAAAATGTGCCGGGAAACTCGTCTCTTCCGCCTTTCTGAATTTTCAAGACTGTCTGGTCGTGAATGGCTGTGAGCCATTTTTCTAAAACGGAGCCTATGCGCAAATTGCAAAACGCGTGTCCTTAAATATGGGCCAAAATTGGCCCAAATAAAAGAGATACCACTAGTCGGGCCACGTAGAAGAAACTGAATTGGGTTGCTCAAGTAACTAAGATTAAGAAGAGACGCATTGCCGCTTCGGCCCGAGAAATGGTTACCAAAATAGAGTTCAGAACCCAACAACAGAAAAATTATTGAAAATGAAGAAAAAAAAAATATATTTTTTATGAAAATGAAGAAAATATTTTTTTAGGCTATAAAGGAAACGAAAATTTAATTTTTCAGTATAAAACCTTACAAACCTAAATGACATCATTAAGTAATTAAACTTAACACATGAGCTGAGCTGAAAAAATTCCAGGACCCATATATATATGTGAAAGCATAATTCTCTCATGTTAGTTAAAAAGTAAAGATGCATGTTTTACGTGTAAGAGTGAGACACTATT